AAAAAAAAAAAAAAAAAAGCAAAACCAGATACACTTCTCCTTGTGTCTATGCAACCAGCTCAACCTGAGTCACTATATCCAATAAGTGAAAGACAAGAGTTTCTGGGATAGAATATACCTTGGCCAACTGTATGTTTGAGGTACCTTAATATCATGTGAGCTGTAGAGAGGTGTTGTGTGTTGGTTGCACCATGAATTGACTAAGACTTTGCACACTATATGATATGTCAGGTCTTGTAATAGTAAAGTAAAATAATCTACCAATCAACCTTCTATATTCAGTGGCATCAACCAAAGGAGCATTTATGTCAGATGATGTCCATTTAATGTTAGCATCCATTGGGGTAGAAATAGGCTTGCTGCCTAAGTAGCCAGTATCTTTTAAAATGTCCAAAGCATACTTCCTTTGACATATATTAATGCCTGAAGTTGAATGAGAAATTTCCAAGCCTAATATATATCTAAGGTTGCCTAGGTCTTTAATTGTGAAACAATTATCTAAATGATTTTTTATGGCATTGGTTTCAGAAATGTTGCTACAAGCTAAAATGACATCATCAACATAAACAAGTAAAGCAATAAAAGAATCCTTTGATTTCTTAATAAACAGAGAGCAATCTGCCACAGATTGAGAGAAACCATAATCAAGAAGGCATTGGGTGAGTTTATGAAACCACTGTCTTGAGGCTTGCTTTAAGCCATAAAGACTTTTTGTCAATTTACAAACCTTTTTATCATTTGCAGAGCAGTAACCAGGAGGGGGAGTCATGTAGACCTCCTCATCAAGGTCACCATGTAAGAATGCATTGTTTACATCAAGTTGATGTAAGTGCCAGTTTTTAATTGAAGCTAAAGCAATTAAAAGTCTGACTGTTGTAATCTTTGCAACAGGGCTAAAAGTATCAAAATAGTTTATGCCCTCTTCTTGGGTGTACCCTTTTGCAACTAAACTAGCTTTATATCTCTCTATTGAACCATCAGCTTTATATTTGATTTTATAGACCCATTTACAACCTATAGGGTGTTTTTCCCAGGTAGCAGGTCTGTAAGGAACCAGGTTTTGGTCTTTTCTAAAGCTGTTAGTTCCTTACTCATAGCTTCCTGCCACATTGGGTCACTTGATGCTTGTTTATAGTATTTATAGAGATAGAAGTTGTAAAGCATGAGTGTTCATTAGAGGGATTACTAGTAGACAAATGAATTTCAATAGGATATAAAGAGGATGTTCTAGGATTGTGTTGAGACTGTTGAGAAGAGGCAGAGTTTGTGGAGGACTGAATCTGATGGTCATAGGCTTTTAGGTATGCTGGTGTTTTTTTAGGCCTTGTGGATCTTCTAAGTTGAGGTTGTGAGGGTAGTGACTGTGGGAGAGAGATTGATTGCTGAGGGGAGTTTGATGGTGGAGAGGGATGGGATATAGGTGAAGCTGTTGAAGGGTTTGATTGTTGAAGTTGAGTAGAGGGTGATTGTGGTTGATGGCTGGGAGTGGGTAATGATTTGTGTTGATGGATGAAAGTATTTGGATCGGGAAACAGAGGGGAGTGGAGATTATCAGTTATTTGAGATTTGAATGGAAAAACAGTCTCATAAAACACAATATTCCTAGAAATCAATATTTTCTTGGTATCTAAGTCATAAAGCTTATATGCTTTATAACCCAAGGGATATCCAAGAAATATGCATTTAGATGCTCTTTGTGAAAATTTGTGTCTATGAGAATGTAATGTAGATGCATACCAAAGACATCCTAGAGTTTTGAGATGATCAAAAGATGCAGGTTTGTCATAAAGTAGTTGATATGGAGATTTATCATGCAAAACTTTTGAAGGAACTCTATTAATAATGTGCACAGTAGTCATGATGCAATAAATCCAAAAATGTAATGGCAGATGTGCATGAAAAAGGAGAGCTCTAGCCACTTGAAGAATATGTTAGTGTTTTCTCTCAACCCTAGCATTTTGCTGAGGGGTTTCCACACAACTCTTTTGATGAAAAATATCATTTTCTGTGAAAAAAATTATGTAATAGAAATTTTGTGCCATTATCAGACCTCAAAACTTTGATGGACTTGCTAAACTGGTTTTTAATCAATTTATGGAAATGATAAGACTTTGTTTTGTGTTTGACTTTTGAATAAGTGGATAAACCCATGTAGTTCTACTAAAATCATCCACAATTGTTAAGAAATATTTATGACCAGCATAAAAAGGGACAGAAAATGGTCCCCAAACATTACAGTGAATCAAGTCAAATGGTGATTTATCAATAGAAGTACTCAGTTGAAATGGCAGTTTTCTTTGTTTAGAGAAATGACAAACATCACAAGGTGTACGTGTGGATTGTGTACTAGAGAGTTTAAGTTGCAGTAGTTTATGAAAAGACAAGTGACCAAGTCTAGAGTGCCAGATATCAGGGGTTATAAGGTTATTAGATGAAGCAGCATCAGATACAGAGTTATTGATATGAATCATGTCATGGGATACATGGTTATTGGTATAAGGTATAGAAGATGCATAAGGATCAAAGTGGTATAGACCAGCTTTGACTTTAGCAAAACCAATCGTTTTGAGAGATATCAAGTCCTGCATAATGCATTGAGATGCAGAGAAATTTATGGTGCAATTATTGGATGAAGCTAGTTTTGAAATTTAAATCAGATTGATGTTGAAATGAGAAACATATAGAGCTTTTGTCAGTGTATTATGAGGAGACAAGGCAATATCACCCATATGAGAAGCAGTTGTAACATGACCATTAGGTAAATGAACAAGAATGGATACATGATGCACATTTGAGGTAAACAATGATAAATCATAGATCATATGATCCTATGCACCAGTATCAAGTATCCAAGAGTAAGTATTTGCCACAGAGTGTGCTAAGTAAGATGTACCTGAAGCATTACCAGCAGGTTGTGCAGTACAAGCATTTGCAATCACAGCATTCTGAGTGTCAACAGTGTGATCATTGATGTGCTGAGACTGCTAATGAGATTTCTTAAATGCTAAAAATTCATGAACTAGCTGATCAGTCATGGAAGACATATTAGTATGAGTAGAATCAGTGGATGTAGAGGCAACCAAATTTGCAGAGTGTTTGGGGTGAATTCTGGGACCACGAGGACCTTCCCAGTTTGGAGGGTAACCAACAACTTGGTAACACCTGTCACTAGTGTGGCCAAGATAGCCACAGTGCAGACATTTGGGTCTAGGTTTAGTTGGGTCTCTGGTATATACTTTTGGTTGATCATTGGGTTTACTGTTTTGTTTGTATGTTTGTTGGGGTGGGAAATGAGACTTTGCGGCCATGGCCATGGATTCAAAGGATTTTGATGTGGAATTAAGGGCTCTCTGCCTTTCTTCTTGAAGTAAAAGGGAGTAGACTTTGGTAAGGTTGGGCAAAGGTTGGGAAAAGGAGAAAGTAAGACCTCAGGGCAGAATAAGACTCATTTAGACCAATCAAGAACTTTATAACAGAGTCAGTTTGCTGGGAATTATCCATAGAGTCAAATATATTGCAGGTACAGGAGGTAAGAGCACCACATGAACACCGGGGAATAGGTCTGAATGAGAGGTATTCATCCCAAAGGGTTTTAAAACTGTTGTAATATTGGGTAATTGTCATTGAGCCTTGGTCCATCGTACTAAGGGATTTTTCAATTTGGAAAACACGAGGACCACTGCTCAATGCATAATGAGCTTTCAATTCATCCCAAACATCTTTTGCTTTTGAAAAAAAATAAAAGAGACTGTCGGATATCTTTTGAAATGGAATTCAACAACCAAGAGAGTACCAGATTATTAGCACGGGTCCAGGCTAGGAACTCAAGGCTACTATCAGTAGATAGAGGTATAGAGACAGTACCATCGAGAAAACCAAGTTTATTTTTTACGCTCAGGGCCATTGTTACTGCACGGGAGCAGGAGACGTAATTGCTACTGTCGAAAACCTCGGCGACGATGATAGCACCGATTGTCGCTGGGATGTAGATAGTACGGCAGGGTCGGATCGTCGGTAAAATTAGGGTTAGCCATCAGCGATTGGAGATCAGAGTTAAAATATCAGAAATCGCAAGCAATTGTAAGAAAATCAACCGAAATCGTACAAATCGAAGAGCGATTGTACATATCTAGGTTAAAATCGTACAAATCGAGAGCGAAAAAAAATCAGAAAAAAAATGCAAAAAAAAATAGATCGAGAGCGTAAAAAACGAGAATAATCGGAGAGCAGTATAGTGCAGAAGACGGGGAATCAGATCGGCGATAAGCCGGCGACTAATACCATGTTGATATTAGTATAGATCGATAGAGAGAAAAACGAGAGAAAGAGAGAGAGAGGAAGATGAATAGAAAATATGGAATTGATTGAATGAGAAAAAGTGTCTGCGCAATGTACATGAAGAGGCCTTATATACTTGGGCCAAATATGCAAATAACCTAAAAGAGATAAAAGTGCTAAACCTAATATAAAGGTGCTATTTACAATACAAACAAATGAACTTGTACTAAAAGCTAAACAAGTTGTACATATTCTATTACGACGAAGTGTTCATGTTTGTAGTTATTCGATCGTGGCAATGGCGGACCTGGTTGAGGGTGGCAGTTGCAGGTTATGGAAGTGGCGATGGGATCGACGGTGGCGGTTGGAATCCAACGACTGCAATTTGTGTTGTCCGGATGTCCAAAGTGGTATGCGTCCGACAGGTGGCTGGGTTTGTAGTGTTTGTTGTGAGCCTGCAAAGTGAGAGGTGAGAGAGTGTATGTGTGTAGTGTGTGTTTTAGGTATAAGTGTGTGTGTGTGTGTGTGTGTGTGTGTGTGTG